AATTTTCAGGGTAGGAACTATCTAACAATGACAAGCTATTCCTTTAGTCACTGGACAGAATAGTTTAGATGTTTGGATGTATGACCTTTTATACTGGAGCAATTAATTTAAATAAATAAAAACTTAAATTTTTAATTTTAATAGCTCAGTGTAATAAATATTTTTTTAAAATTTCTAAATAGGTTATGAGTCTCTGGTTTATGAACAGCCAAGCCCGAAGAATGCAGGTAATACATAAAGACTTTACTGTCATGGAAGAATGTATGAATTAAGGATAAAGTCTATCCATGTATGTAGGCCCTGATTTATTAGCAGTCACTCTGTGAGAAGAGGAAAACCAATAAGAGAGTTTATATCTAATTTACTTTTCTAACTTGAGCTCTACAAATGTTACTTATTTAAATGTTGTTTTTTAATGATATTAAAATTTGAATATTTTTTATATTGTTTTTATCAGCTTTTAGTCCTATCAAGGGTTTTGTTGCTTAATTTTTTCCAATTTATTTCATTTATTAATTATAATTATTGCGTTTATCCCATAGATGGCAGCACTGAAATATAATTTGTTTCATAAATTTTTTTTCCAAATTCCTTTTTAACAATTACTTTACACAATATAAGGTATGAGCACAATTTTATATTTTTTCTTCTTAGCGAACTGTTAGATATTAAAATGGAAAATAATAAAGATTAATGATTAAGAAAAGAAGAAAATTGATTAAAATTATATATTTCTGAAGTATTTAAAAAAAAAAATTGAAAAATAAAAAGACGGAAAAAAAAATGAAAAGATATAATCTCTACATTACACTGCTAAAAAAACTTGGTAAATGTTTAACCAGTACTTGGGGCAAAGTTTCTATATACTTGGTGCAAGCTTTTATATTATCTTGAAAAATTTTCTTGCTTGTTCTTAAAGAGTTAGTTTCAAATTTCTTCTAGGAAACTATATTCGTTGAGTGAATAAGTAAATATTTTAAAATCTATATTAGCTCTTTTTCAGCAAATAGGAGATATCTAATATATATAAAATATTAGATATCTTTATATATATAGAGCTAATATATATAAAATCTATATTAGCCATCTATTTTTTGCGCAAAGAAAGTGCAATACCAGTGACAAATGAACGGTAAATACGGCAAATCTTAAATAGTTTCCGCCAAATTTACTACCGGTTAAAATTTTCTAGTTCCGTGTTTTAATTGCATTCTACCAAAAAAAAAAGAAAAAAAAAAAAAGAAAAGAAAAATAGTAAGTACATTTTGTTAGGATTAAAACTTTTTATCAATATCTGTGCTTCGGTTTTGATTTCCATTTTCTATATTGCTCATTTTCATAATTGCATGAATTTTAGTCTATGCATACTTAAATGCCTTTTTAGTAAAATTTTCAAAGCTAATTACACTCCGTTTCACCTCAAGATGGATCGTGTGCCAGCCGTCGTCATGGAAACTGGATTTCTCTTAAAGTTGGTTGAATGCACGAGGTAGGAAAAAAGCAATGTAAGTGGCCAATATTGGCCTTAAAGAAAACAAAGCACTAATTATTTTTATTGAGCAAGAATCTTATTGAAATTTCGAACAAAATACCGACAAGAACAAGATTTTTTAGAGCATTTGGAAATAAGCTGATTTCTTAGAATAATTTTTTAAAAAGCAGATTTTCGCATTAATTTTTTTTAACTAAGCGAAACAAATTTTAAATGAAACAAAATATCGTATTTTAAATTTAACATGTACAGTATACCATCCACATGAATACTGCTTGTGTGTTTATTAGCTGCCATATCTCGCCCTCTTAGACTTATCACGAACTATCTATCCAAGTGTTGATCATGTTGTTCATTTAATATCTTAAAAGTTGACAGTTCCTTCTGCAATTTTTTTGTGGGGTCTCCCAGCACGATTTCTCATGAGGAGAAAATCTGTTTGGGTGCTTAGGCGCTTTTTATCAAAAAATAAATAAATAAATAAAAATAAAAATAAATAAATAAATAATAATAATATTTTATTATCAGAACCTTCCTTTCCTTTATAGGATCTTAGTGGGTGAAAGAAGGCTTAAGAAAATAATCCCCCCCCCCCTATAAATAGTTAGTCTCGAAATATTTCTCAGATGGTGAAATGTTTTAACATTTTTCTACATAAGATCAACAATTTCTCAATTTTTTTAATATTGTAGTTTAAAAATAGTAATTAAATATAACTTGCTTTGATTGATCTTTCTATGTTTTTTTTTTAAAAAGTAAGGATTCAAAGTTTTTGTCTTCTGTGAAATTATTTCAATTCCTATACATTTTATTGACATAAATTATATGATTTATAATCTTCTTTCATCAGCACAAAGACACCAACAACTTCAATGCTTTTAGTCAAGAAAGAGGCTTAGGAAAAATTATTGTTGTAACCAGTGCAAAGCTTATTGATAAAAATATTTATTTCGCCAAAATTACCAGAATTCTAGAATGTTATAAACAGTTTTTTTCAAACTTCAAGAGTACTAGTTTCAAGAATAGCTTACAAGCGAGGAATGTGTGTAGTTTCCGAATTTTGAGAATGAAGAACCTGTGGTTGGAAAAATAATTGGAAAGGCTCCAAAGTCTTATTTGGGTGTTATCTTTTTAACTCTTGTTGTGTTTTTCATATAAGGGGTTATCAACAGAAAAATTGTGAGGTAATTAAAATAATAGCACAAGAATATCTTTTAGATAATTATTCTCTTCTCTGTCAAAATCTAAATATTGGTAAGTCAGTATTGCCGCTCCCAAACACCTATTATTTGATCATGAATAATTATTTAAATTATATATATATATATATATAAATATAATACTTAATTAATACAAAAATTCTTATTTACAATTACTGTGAATTAAAAATAAGTTTGAATTGAATGCACTCTCTCAGTAACAAAAACATACTTATCTATCATATTTTTGAGTGAATATATTGTATTTTTCTCATGAATGCTACGATATGTATAAAAAGTATAATATATTTAAATTTTAAGATTATTATTTTGCATAAAAATTATTACAATTTGTCTATGTCTACAAACATCAAAGTGATTGTAAATGAATAAATTATGTTTGAATATTGATCTGGATCTGTGAATTTTTTGTTACTATTTCCAAGTTATGTAATTAATTTTACATTTCTTAGTTTACTTCAAAATGGAGTTATAAAAGGAGTATCATTGTTTGAATATCTAAAAGGTGAATCATCGATGACCTGATTATAGTGATTATGTATTCGCTTTAACAATCCAAAAGTCCAAATCCCATATTTCTCTAATTATTTAATTCAAAATTTATTATTCTATATATATTTTAGGATATTGAACACTGTTTTTCCCCCCTCAAATATGCTTAAATATGTGCATCACTTTAAATGCAGGTTCTAGGGACTCGTCTGAATTTCTGTTTCTACAGATTTAATACGCGCCTCCATACGCAATTCATCGAACACGTAAACAAAAGAACCACACAACCGAAAATGTTTCGTTAGGTTAAATGAATTTACTGAAAATCTGAGCATGAACATAGACTATGAGGCCTTTAACATGAATGACATTTGTCACCAATGTGATGAGGTATTATGTTTAGTGTGTCCCAAAAGTATTGATAAATTTTCAAGTTTCATAATGGTTTGAAACCATGCAACATTGAAGAAGTGTTTAGTGGGATTTTAAAAATAGATATTTAATAAAATTTAAAACTATGATGATTTAAAAATAAATTTGTAATATTTCAAAAATAAACCAACCAATCTATTTCAATCTGGGTAAACTAGAGACAATTTTTGAATTGGGTAAGAATAATGTATTAAATTGGGAAAATAATTTTTATAGTAAACTACACATTTCAATCTAAGCAAATAACTTAAAGTTACTAAAACTATCAGTGAACAGACTTATATGGTCTGAGCTAGTAACTATTTTAACTAATTTCCAGTTTCACCATGTGAAAAGAAGAGNATTCGATCAATGTGTGTAGTAGTGCTGGAGATAATTGACACCATGAATCCTGCAGGGCTGTCCATAAACCAGTGGGAGTAAGAGGGGGTGGGGATATCTTCTGAACATCACGTTGGAAGGCATCCCAAATATGTTCAATAAAGTTCATGTCTGGGGATTTTGGTGGCCAGCGGAAGTGTCTAAATTCAGAAGAGTGCCGCTGGCCACCAAAATCCCCAGACATGAACATTATTGAATATATTTGGGATGCCTTGCAACGTGATGCTCAGAAGATAATCCCGCCCCCCTCTTACTCCCACTTATGGACAGCCCTGCAGGATTCATGGTGTCAATTATCTCCAGCACTACTTCACACATTGATAGAATCCATGCCACGTCGTGTTGCGGCGCTTCTGCGTACTCGCGGGTACCCTACACGATATTAGGCAGGTATACCAGTTTTTTTGGCTCTTCAGTGTATATTAGCAAATTTTCTCTGGCTAAGCGTTTAGAAAATATTCAAGATGTTTTGAGCAAACAATTTTTCATAGGCAGCACTAAAAGGCTATTAACACAATAAAAGAAACAGTACAAAAAATAGATGTTTAAAATTTGCTTTCATGATAATCCAAAAAAATTGTCATCATGAAAATAATTAATACCTGGTTAGTCCACAGAAGTCAAAATATTTTTCTCTAAACACTTTCCCTACTACTCACTACTCTACCTACTTCTTTTTATGTTTACATAAAGCATATATGTTCAACGTGTTGAGTGAAAACTTGGTAATTAATTCAGGCTATGATACAATACAGAACATATTTTAAACACAGAAGTGGAGGATCTATATGCATCAATTCTGTTGACCTATAAAAGACAAGAATACATTATTAATTAATATATAGTATTTAGATAAAAAGTATTTAGATAAAAAGAAATATATAAAAGATTTTTATTCAATTTTTGTCCTAATTAATTTTTTTCGTAACTATTTTAACTTTTTTATGCTGTTACGTTACTCCTTCAACTTACATTTTTTGTGATTTCCTTGTGAGCGATTAACATTTACTACACAATCAGCTTCTTTAAAGAGTACTTTAATAATTACATTATAGCTCAATACTAATAATTACAAACCAACAACTTCCCCATAAAATTTGCACAAGATTGTAACACAATTTCAAACATAAAAAACTCCTTCATTTTTTAAATTTTTTTTAGTGAAATTAATTATTATAAAGTAATACAAGCAGTGTTTCATAATGATCTATGCCACATAAAACTAAAATGTCTATATAGTATATAGCTATCACTTAGAAAAAAATAGCAAACAAATTGAAGCAATAATCAAAATACATGAAGAAAATTACTGCTTTAACTTTGAAAGAGAGAGAGAGAGAGAGAGGGGGGGGGAAGGTTAGTAACGCAAATTAAACCTATACAATTATGATTAACTTCTTTTCACCATTAAAAAAATATTTATAAAATGCATAAATTAAATTTTTTTATTTGCCTAGAAAATACTGGACTTCGACAAGCACAATGGGATTTAGGGTGTTTAATTAGGAATGCTCTTAATATGTCTTTTTAGAAACCATTTCAAAAATGGACTATTGGGGGGTCGCAAATTAATATTTACCAGAGGAAAAAAAGCGCTTTCGAAGTTTCACAAATCACAGAATTGAGAGGCGGAAGTTATTTACATTCGATTAAAGGAAGAAGACAGAAGTTTAAAAACGAGTATTAGAAACACCACCAAGTTTTAATATCTAATTAAACCTGTTTCGTTTATTGCCTTTCTTAATTTATCAGAATTCAAAAGTGTATTTGCTTTCTCCTCAAATAAATACAAATTGCATTGTGCGCATACTTTTTGTTCTCCTTTTGATAAGAATTATGAAAATACATATCAAAAGCGGTCTTTACAGAACACCCTGTGTATTATACATTAAGTATTGCATCTATGCTAGTAAAATTAACACATTTTTACCAAACCATTTAAGATTTCATATATTGTATGTTCCCAGAAAGAAAAAAAAAGAAATACATATTTTTTAAAATTGTTAAACAAATAATGTTCGAACAAATAAAATTTAAAATTACGTGAGTTAATAGAAAGAAATTCCAAGAAATTCTATTTAAACGAATTTAATTTTCTAACTGTTACATTACAGAAAGCATCGTGAATACTGCTAAATAGAGTTGGCAAAAGAAATATTGAACAATTTTGATCAACATCAAAACTTTCGACGGAACATCAAGATTAAATATAGACGAAAATAATTTTAAATTGTTACGAATAAAAATAAGATATTGTTTGCATAAAAACAATTTTAGTGTCCAGTAAGCTATAAAGCGCAAGTGATCAAACATATTTTGACCTTCTCAACATAAAACATTTCGCAAAAAAGATAAAAGTCAAAAAATTAAACAATCAGACATTTTGAGATTCTCAAGTTGAATAAAAATTAAACTAAGTTAAAAACGTTATTAGACTAAAATCCTTATATTAAGATCGTAATGCATAAAACTTAAAATAACTAAATTTTAATATAGAGTTAACAATTAACCTAATTCCTAAATAAGTCACTTTTCAGTATCAACTCATGATCTCAGAGTAATTGCGAGAAAAGAAGATTACTTTTAGTGTTGTACTACAAATGATACACTGAGTTTGTTCAATCCATAACTTCGAATAACTGAAAAAAAAGAGAAAAAAACTTTAGGATTTGAACATATTTATTAAAATAAATTGTCTAACGAGTCTTTTAGCAATTATTGAACTTATAAACATTTTAAAAGTCATGTTTTTTAAAGTATTCATGAATTATAACTTAATTTTTAACTAAAAAAAATTAAGCTATCATTATACGCAAAATTTTATAACTTCCGTCTTTTGAAAAGTCCACGTTTATCATGCCATATTTAAAATTCGAAATTCACTTGATAGATGTTGTTTTTGTTTTCGTCGGCCATTAAGACAGAGGGGTGGGGGGGGGAGATTACTCTTGTTTTCCAGCTGCCCCATCTATGACCCTGCCACACTCATACGTCACACCTGTTTATAGGGCGGACCCATTCATACATCGATTCCTTCATCCACAGTTGACCTGAACCAGAGAACGATCAATCTCAAATTCAGTACCCCCAGAAATATTGATTTGTTATACATTTTATAAACATGTTATATGTATTTGTTCGTACAGTCCTCCAAGGTCCCACATGGTGGGCTGTACTGAAATACAGTAGGGGAGAGTGGGGTCAATTGTAACANCCAAGGTCCCACATGGTGGGCTGTACTGAAATACAGTACTAAAATAACATTCCAATTGCATTAGCAATTTTGCTTCTAATTTAGAATTTTTTTTAAAAAATAAATTTGTTACAAATTATGAATATGATTAAGAATAACTATCTACATTATGAATAATATAACTTTATATCACTATATTAGGAATAATATAACTCAATTTTAAATAACTTATATTAAATAAAGATGAATTTTCCTTAAATTATCTATTAATTAGTATTAAAATTATTGAGTTTGCACCTAATTATAAGGATAAAACTCCCATTACCTTTTCAAGTAAAAAAACATTCACAGATTAAGCTAACGTAAACTGTACTAGGAAACTGGGAATTGAAATCTGTTATGCATCTTCAATTAATTGCTTAACATTGAAAATTAGAAACAACAGGCACTCCAATTTCATAAGAATATCTGACGTTACACCTCAAATAAAATGCACAAATAAAGCTAGCGTAAACTGTACTAGGAAACTGGGAATTGAAATCAGGTGTTCATCTTCAATTAATTGCTTTACATTGAAAAATAGAAACGGCAGGCACTCCAATTTCATAAGAATATCTGACGTTACACCACCAAAATTAGCTACGCAATGTAGTTTTTAAATTTATAACTTTTTTCTCTTTTCATTAAATTATAAACAATTTTCTTTTTTCATAATATTTCTCTTACATCTTAGAAGCAAGCACTAACATGGTATTTGAATTAAGATGAAAATCTCGAGAGAAATAGAGAGAATTTTCTACAACAGTGGATAAAGTCAATTTTTAACGCAAAAAAAGTGAAAAAAAAAAAAAACTAGTGTTAAGATCATAAATAAAAATGGTTCTTTCAGCATGTCAAATTTTTATTCTGTAGCTGCATTTCCGAGATCGGCACAGCGACTTGCTTGGTATTTTTTAACACAAGTTAAGCAGTTAAAAATTCTCGAACTATTTAATAAATGTGAATTTCTTTTTTATTTTTATTTCATTGCATTCTCTGTACACTTTTCTATAAGCTTTCGTTATTTTAAATTCCCAAGTTTTTGCGCAGCAAAACAAATTGTAACGCTGATTTGAACTCCCAAAATAGTGGCAGCAGCGGATGTTACGAATTGTTAATATAGAGAGAAACTAAATAACAAACAACAATTAAAAAGAAGTCACAGCATTTTATCTTCGATTCCATTCATTGAATCCTCCATTTTATCTCAGTTCTATAATATTGATTAAAGGTGATGCTATATTTTCTACAGTGTGCTATAAAGTACTATAATTTGAAACTATTTTCATTCACCAAATGCTTTTGTAAAGAACATTTGTTCAGGGATCTGCACTTCTAAGAATCTATTCACGGCAATACACTCCCCCCTTTGAAACAATGATGGATTATACCGATTGTGATGACCCTTACCCTGGAACTCTCAGGTGAAGAACCTCTCAGAAGAAAAGAAATTGCATCTCTTACTATCAATGTCGCATCATCTTTTCGCGCGTAAATCAGAAGTTCAGTAAAATAGAAAGAGTTCAACAGATACCGGAAATTCCAACAAAATTCAATCAGGCTTCACTCTTTTTAACCCCCTAAAAGGAAATTTTAATTTTTCCTACTACTCTTTTTCTAAACATTTCGCCTCTGCTAATTTTCGTTTCTGCATAAAAATAGAAGTATCTAAAACAAAGTATTTATGAGCATCTAACAATTTTTTAAAATTTTGATTTAATATATATATATATATAGTCCCAGTAAAATTATTAGACTTAGACGCACTATAAGATTCTATGTAAAATCTTACTTATAAGGTGATACTATACAGCTTTATTGTATTTGCACGACTGAAACCGGTTTGTACTTGCTGACGTTCGTGTATCAATTGGCTAAATTAGACGATATATGAAATCAATTAGACGATTGGATAAATTAGACGATATGTTATTTAAATATAGAATATTTCTTATATTAGGTATTATATTATAACAATTAGACCAAATTAATAGACGCACTGTAGAGTTTTAATAATTACATGTTTTGTACGAGTTTATATACAATACTTTTATATTTAAATATATATGTAATGGGTTTTTATTCAGGAGATTTTTCATCTACCTCCTACTTGTATTTATTTTCAAAGTATTTCATTACAATGTAAACCAATTGATACACTAACGTAAACAAGTGCAAAGCTTATATACATATATATATATACATATATATATATAGATA